TTTACTGGGGCAAAACCAATTGCCCTAGGCACTGCTTAAACATCAAGCAAGTGAAACAGGTTTGCTCTGGAGTGAAATGTGATATGCAATAAGGCTGGAAAACTTTCACCTTATAAGTTTTTGGAACATCACTTCTCTTTGGGAATTCACTGCCACCTTAGTTACAAAGGGTTATTTAACAGAACCAGAAAATACCTCTGAGGCTAGAGACCTCAGTTCACTAAATCAGCCTGGCATTTGTTGTTGAAGTGTATCAGGTTGGGTGCGTGGCAAAAGCTCACAGAACACTCTGCAGTGGGGCTCAGAGAGATGAATAGCAGTAACGCTGGACAGAAGTAGGCTTCAGAGCCTCTTTCCTGGGTTGCCACTCACCATCCTTGCACTGGTGTAGTGAGTTTGGTTTTCTCTGACCAACTGACCTTAATCCTTAAATTAAGAACAGTTAAAACTGCATTGTTAGTACTGTTGGTTGCTTAAGTCAAGTGGAGCTGAATGCCTTCTCTGTGGTTGTTCAAACAGCTGAACTCAAGTAAGGCAGGTACAACTTGTGTTCAGGCACCATGGGAATGCTTGGTGGTAAGCACAGCATGTACTGATCAGGGTAACCCTACTGAAATAGGGGCTAGGGTGTGAGCTGTGTCTTCAAGCAGGTGTTTGTCATTTGGGATTGTCGCAAAGCAATTTTGCAGTAATCCCCCATGAAGAAAGCCCTTCTGAGGTGTCTGAGACCCTCCACACTTCACTTCTTGCTTAGACCCTGTTGCACAAGTTGTGTAACAGACTTAGTTCCCTTTAAGGCTGGATTGTGGGATGGATTAGTGATAAATCTCATATTAAAGAATGAGTTACAAAGGAGAAGCGTGAGGTGGGAGAATGCATTTGAGATGAGGGTAATGCTGCCCATTCAGCAGTGCTGTAGGCTAACTGGCAGCTGAAAGAATGTGTGTTGGCAACTGCTCCAAGAGCATCTTTCTCCCTACTGCTGGTAATGATGGGATTTTCCTGAACTGGAGGAGAGAGCAAAGAGCTCTCTTTCTTCTGTGCTTTCTCAGTTTGAAATCCCACTTTGTTACGAGAGAGGTGAGGGACATTCTTCTGTTACAGCAGCTGCCTCCTCACTCCCTGTCATCATGCTGAGGTGTTCTCATGCTCATGCAGAGTTTTAGGCTGCCCTCAGTGCTCTCGATTTGTGTGTTCATCATATTCCAGAAGCATATTATTCTTCCCAAATGTACTTTATATGTGTGACCATGAAGATATCCCAAAACTTCATTTAGTTTCCTTTGGCTAAAGCAATAAATCTAACTTCAGTGATGACTGCTTCATGAATGAACCTTTATTCATTTTGGAGTTTTATGTCAAGTGGTATGAGGGCTCCAAAGCATTGAATTATCCATATAAATATAATCCCACTGTAATGCCATTGATCTCTGTCCTGGTTAGAAGGCAGAATTGTGTTCCCCCTCCCTTATCCCTTAGTTTTCCCAGACAGAGAGATAAACAAAGGAAAGCAGGGGTAATAAAGGTCTTGCACCAACAGAAAGTTAACAAAAGTGAAATATATTATTTAACAGGGAGCAGAAAGGAAGAAGGGTAGGGGTTAACAGGGTAAAGGGATACAGGGAGTAACAAAGTGAGGAGGGGTAAATTTCCAAAAATACAAAACCAAAACGCTGCATTAAGGCTCCCCAGCACTGGATCTCGCTGGATTGAGGTGGATTGAAGCTGGATGTACAATCCTTGGATGTGGATGGAGGCAGGGAATGTGTCTGGAGATCAGGCCCAGGTCCCAGGATGGCCATGGCCACGTGCAGCACAGGGAGCAGCAAACAGCAGCAGAGCAGCGTGTCCCCGGCCAGGATCCCCACAGAGAGAAGGGGGGTGTGCCTCCCTCCCCCCTTTATGGACCCCAGCAGGAAGTCCCCAAGATGGGAAGAGGGGAGTGGGAATAGTACAGGTCTCCACCTCTCTTCGTTCAGGCTTGCTCCTGGTTTTAGATTTCAAATCTCCA